AACCTTCCTGGCAGATAGTCAGCTTGGACCAACCTAACTTTCTTCTCGCTAATGTCTAGGTTGCTAGAAAAAAGTTAACAGTGGGACAGATGCTTACTACACAGTAACTTCAGATCCTGTGGCCTCAGGGGGATCCGAATACTCCCTGGCAATCCTTATGCTCTGCCCAGGTCAACTGTTTTTCCTGTTCTCCAAAGGAGCAATTTCAAACCTTCATCACTTTCTTCAAACTCCTTCCCCCATAACACTCCCCATTCTTTGCGTATAATTTGTCTCCTAAATTTCAGGAAAGAACCCAAAAAATCACACTAGGACTTTCTAAATCCCCCCTGCCCAATCCACAGATCTCACTGTTATCCCTGCCCATCTTCGTTCCTCCTGTGGCCGAGAAAGGGGTTCCACTTTTGTGTTGGATCCAATCCCTTGTCATCTCAGAGACTTCGAATCTGCATTTCTTGCTGTCTCTCTTAATGTCTTCTACCCCACCATCCATAGTGCCTTCTTCCTGTCAGCATTGAAACAAGTCTCTGTCATCTTTAAATATACTCCCTTCAAACACCTTCAGTATACTCCCACATCCTCTCATCCTTTCCCATTCCATTTCATGAATCTTGCCTCTTCCCTAGCACTGTCTAATTTGCTAAAAGAGTTGTATTCACTCATGATCGCCATTTCCTGGCTTTCTACTCGTTTTTCAACCTGTCACCCCGATCTCTGCTCCCAGCACTGCCTGCAAGAGTCTTTTCTGATAGAGCCAAAGGATTCCTTGTTTGGGAACATTCTCTGTTACTTGACCTCTTAGAAGGATTTAATGCTGCTGACTACGCCTTCCTTGAGGCATGTTCTCCCCTTGGCTTCTATAATGTCAGAACTCAGAACTCCATAGCCACTCCCTAGTTTCTGTTGTCCAGCTCTTAAATGCAGGTGTTTCTCAGGATTCTATCCAGGGCCCTCTTATCCCTCCAGGTTACAATCTTGCTTGTAAACTTCAGAACTGTATATTCAGCAGCCTACTGGCCATCTCCACTAGATGCCTCTCAGGTATATTAGAATCAGCAGTCTCAAACTGAACTCAAACTCTCCTCCCAAACCTGTTGTTCTTCCTTGTCAGGGTGAGTAGCAATAGCATCTGCCCTGCAGCCTGAGCCAGACAATCCTGAACACTATTGTTGACGCTTCTGTCTCTCACTGACTTTATCTCCAGACCATCACCAAGTCCTGTAATGCTGGTGAGGTGAAAGGAGCGTGGATTTTGGTTAAAATTCCAGTTCTAATTGTAGTTTGCACAAACTACTTAACCTTTCTCAGCCTCAAGTTCCTCATTTGTTTAAAGGAAGTAGCAATACCTAATTTAAGTGGTTGTTGTCAGGATAAAGGAAAGCCTTTACTTGGTAGGTGATATGGTTTGGCTCTGTGTTCCCACCCAAATCTCACCTTGAATTTTAGTAATCCCCACATGTTGTGGGAGGGACCCAGTGGTAAGTAATTCAATCATGGGGGTGGGCTTTTCCTATGCTGTTCTCGTGATAGTGAATAAGTCTCACAAGATCTGATGGTTTTATAAATGGGAGTTTCCCTGCACAAGACCTCTTGCCTCTCGCCACGTAAGACTTGCCTTTGCTTCTCCTTTGCCTTCCACCATGATTGTGAGGCCTCCCCAGCCATGCGGAACTGTGAGTCCATTAAACCTCTCCTTTATAAATTACCCAGTCTCAGGTATGTATTTATTAGCAGTGTGAGAACAGACTAATACAGTAGGCATTCAATAAATGTGAGTCCTCCATTCAGTAAACATGACTGCTCTTCTGTTCCAGTCCTCTCTCTCCCCAACCCCATCACCACCTCTGCTGACTTGCCTTATTGTTGAATTGGTGTGTACATAGTTTCCTGACTTTGAGAATCCCCCTGCAGTTAGATTTCCCATTGTTCCTTCATGACTAAGGACTAAGTGCTGGTCACCACAGCATTGAGTGCAGTCTGGGAGGCAGATTCCAGCTATCACTGCCACATAGTTAGATGTGTATGTACTTCCAAGTCTTGTCTCTTAGCTGTCTCCTATGCCACCGCACCTCCGTAAGCTAAATCCTCATCATCTCATTTGGGTACTGCAGCAGCCCCTCTCAGGCCTTTCTCCACGCCCTCTCTCACTTCAGTCCTTCTCTGCCTGACCATCATAGCTGGTCTTTCTGCCCTGAAACCTGCCATGGCTTCTCTCTCCTGGCGAAGTGAAGTCCACACACTGCTACGTGCAGCCTGCCTTGCCAGCTCATCTCCCTTGCGTGCCTGTGCCAGCTCAGTGGCTAAGTCCTCTCTGACCCAGTGTCAGTTTTCATGATGAGGGAGCAAGAAGGATGCTTAGATACTGGTCGAGAAGCTGAATACTGTACTTCTTGGGTCTAGTGGCCAGTAGGACAGGCATAAGACACTTAGCTAAGACCAGCTGTCCAGAAAACAGGGACCAAAAGACACAGGAAACCCAGGAGGACTTAGAATTCTGTAAGAATCACCAGTCATAAAATAAGGAGGAAAACCGATTAGTCTTCTGTCATAGCAATGTATGCTTATGAAGAATTTGGAAAATGCAAAGAAAGTAATCACCTGGAACCTCTCACCTAGTGATAGGCACTGTTGCTGTTTCAGTATGTTCCTTCCAAGTCTTTTTTTTTTCCCCCCCGAGGCAGACTCTCACTATGTCACCCAGGCTGGAGTGCAGTGGCACAATCTTGGCTCACTGCAACCTCCACCCCCAGGTTCAAATGATTCTTGTGTCTCAGCCTCCCAAGTGTCTGGGACTACAGGTGCTTGCCACCACACCCAGCTGATTTTTTGTGTTTAAGTAGAGATGGGGTTTTACCATGTTGCCCAGGCTGGTCTCCTGAGCTCAGGCAATCCACCCGCCTCGGCCTCCCAAAGTGCTAGGATTAGAGGCATGAGCCACTGCACCTGGCCTCAGTCTTTCTTCTAAGAAGTCTTTGTCCTTTTTTACACAGTCTTCATGGTACACTGTATAATCAAGTGTACATCCTGCTTTATCTCGTCTGTCCAACGTATTTTTCCTGGGTTAGTAAAATCTCTGCCTAAGCCATGTAACGACTGCTTGCTATTCCACATGTGACTATAGGATAGTTTCTTTAACCTTTTGCTATTGCTGGACTTTTTAGTCTTTCCAATAAATAACACTGGTGGGGAGAGACAGTTTTGCGAATAAAACTTTTCTTCCTACATTTCTGATAATTTTTCTAAGCTATAAATTTATAACTTAAATCACTGAGTCAAATTATGAAAATTTCTAAGCAGTGCAGACTCAAAAGGGACAGAATGAATATAGACCGGACCTCAGCTGCAAAGAGAGAGGTAAAGAGAAAAGGGTTGTAACTAACAGATTCTTTTAAAATTATTTTTTACTTCACAAAGGAGAGGGCTGGGAAGATTCAAGTGGTGCTCTGTAGGGAAAACATGCCTTTGAATTGAGTTCCTGGCTTCATGATGGTCGAGAAGGGCTTGTTTCTGCTTTTGTGTTTTCATCTGGGTCAGTTAGAGGACAAACCATTCCTATGAATTCCTTTCCCACTAAGGAAGAGAAAAATCATCCAGTATATAATGATGCAGATCGTTAGCTGTGTTCGCAGCCTTGTAGTTTAAAAAATATATATATATGTAATAATGTATCCTCCTAATGTGCAGTTAATTTTAGTTAAAATTTCCCTAGTGCTTTAAAAACCCGGTGAATTTATAAACATAGCAACTGGCTTGCATTTGGAACGTTCAAGCTGTCATACCAGCTGGCTGTAGCAGGGCATGCTGCACCTCCTTGCGCTCTGTTGGGAGTTCAGCACTCACCTGAGCACTGCCCTCTCGAATCCAGAAAGAAACCAAGACCTTCCCAGAGTTCCTGTTCCTAATTTTCCGTAACTGAAGAAAGCTAATGAGTGTCTCAAAGTCAACATGTCCAAAGTCAAACCTTTGACTCCCTGTCAGTCCCCAAATTCAGTCTTTCTCTCAGCAGTGGATCAGCCACCTGACTGGTGATTCAGATTCAAAAGTTTGAACTGTCCTTGATTTCTTCCTTTCTTTCCTTGCCACTGCCAACATCACATTCACCAGCATATCCTGTTGATTCAGCTTCTAACATATACCTCAAATTGTCCATTTCTCTTACTCTATCCCAGCTCCCCTGGCCACTCCCCTAACTCTGGAGTGGCTGCCTCCTGCAGGATGTTGCTTCTACTCTGTGGTCTGTGGTCTGCAGACTGCACTGTAGCCAAAGGGATCTTGCCGAAATAGAATTCTGATTACGTCGTCTACTCTTTCTTTGTCTCTTCTTCGCTGTTAAGGTAAAGGCCAGAAATTCCAGTGTGGCCAAGAAGGTCCTCCCCAGAGCCACCCACCGCATCCCTGGATCTATCAGGGCCCAACTTCACCAGCCATCCTGCAGCTCCTACCCCAGGGCTTCTGCACTCAACTGTGCTGTCTCCCCAGGAGAACCCTCTGCACTCCCCTCCCTCCTCCTCCTGATTCAGAGGAGCCTTCCCTTCTACCCATTCTATCCAGGTCAGGCTCTTTACTTTCATAGAAACATGGGGATTTTTTCTTGCTTCACAGAGCCTATTTTAATTTGAAGTTCTACACATGTATACACATTCATTGGTGTGATCCTTTGATTGCCATCAGTCTTCTCTGCTAGGCAGTGAGACCCATGAAAAGGGTCTGCTGTCACTGTTCTTTCCCTCTCAGCTAGCTCATGTCTAGCACAAGGTAGGTGCTTAATAAATGTATTGGTTGCATGCTGAATGAACGAGTAGAGTCCTGCTAACAGTTGTCATTGATGGATGGGGTCCTTGTAAGGTGTGGGCTCTTCCCAGAGCGGGCAGGCCCAAGTTTTCCACAACACATTGACTTGAGGGAGTGTGACTTTGTTTGATTTTATTTTTTTCATTTCAGCTATTGGAGCGAATAGAGCATGCTGCCTAAAACTTATTTTTTCTTCTCTCTCTGTTCAGCTAAAGCTTGCTTTCACTCTGGACCACGAGACCGGATTGCCTCAAGGATGTCATATCTATGAGTACCGTGACAGCAACAAGTAAGCCACTCAGTGGGAAAGAGTGTCACTTCACATGTGTGCAGCAGTGGTGCCTGTGGGCTTTCTGACACTGAGCTTCCATTGCTAAGTGGTCATCAGGAAGGGAATACACCTTTTACTACTATACTAGAAAATAGCGGGCAGAGAAATATTCCTCTTGTAAGATCTCTTTGCCCCTAAGTATAGAACTTGGGGCACTTGTAGAGGAGCAGTTGTGGTGTGTTAGAAGTAGATGTTGAAGCAGACCTTCTTTCAAGGCTCCAGATGTACCCCAGACACTCTCTACTCTTGGTCTCCAATCATGTGCCTGCTTGTTTGGTTCACTGTGTGACTTTGGCTTTGTTGCAGTTCTCAGTCACTGTCTATACTTAGGTTTATGGGTTTTGTTGTGATTATCTTCCTTGTGTATTTTATATTAATAGTTGGGAGATTTCTGAGTACTTACAGAGATTTAAATTGGTGGCCTTGTTGGAAAGGTGGCACCTTGCATAATTTCATAGCACCTCCTTTCCACATCATAGAATGCCTCCTTTTTTTTTGGACAGGGTCTTGCTCTGTCACCCAGGCTAGAGTGCAGTGATAGAATCATGGCTCACTGCAGCCCGAAACTCCTGGGCTCAAGTGATCCTCCCATCTCAGTTTCCCGAGTACCTGGGACTACAGGTGCATGCCACCATGCCCAGCTAATTTTTCTAAAGTTTTAGTAGATACAGGTCTCCCTATGTTGCCCAGGTTGGTCTTGAACTCCTGAGCTCAAGCAATCCTCCCACCTCGGCCTCCCAAAGTGCTGGGATTACAAGTATGAGCCACTGCACCCAGCCACAGACTGCCTTCTTGACTGTGTATTTTTGTTTGTGAGACAGTGAAAGTGGTGGTGAGTGAGGCACAGGGAATGTGCCCCAATGATGACAATGATGGTAATGACGGCAGCTACCATTGAGCACCTCCTATGTGTTAGGCACAGTACTGGGGACTTCACATTTGTTATCTCATTTAATCTTCATAACAACCCCGGGTGTGTTATTTTATTATTGTCATATTTGCAGAAGCTAAGGTCTAGGGAACTAAAGTAATTCACTCAGGGTAACTTGCCACAGCTGTGAGAAGCAGAGTCAGCATTATCATGTTTACTCTGGGGAGAGAATAGATGGAAAACAATTGACCCATATTGCCACTTAGAAACTCCAGTCAGTGACAAGAGCAGTCCCAACCTGGATTTAAAGAGAATGTACTCTGGTCTCATCGTCTAAATATCCAGGCTGTTTAATTTCATCCAGTAGAAGGAAACAAATAGGCACATGCCAGTAGAACCATCTATGACCTTCCAAAAGAGAAATCGGTGCCTTCCTCGAGACCTCTGGCGCTGTTTTGGGTGGAAGAGAGGCTAATGGGTGCCCTCATTACCACATCTCCACTGGGATTACCTTCAAGATGTGATGACTCTTTGTAATTTATCTTCAGGAGAATGCCATAGTAACTGGTGTGTACCCCTAATTAATCATAGGAAGGATTGACCAGACATCCTTTAACAATTCTGGCTGGACTCTCTGCTCTTTGGGAAAAGGTTGCAGAGTTTTTATTCAATGGGAGAAGGGCACCAACTCTCTGTCCTTTAAGTTTATGTCTTAGCTGTTCACATATCCAGTGGCAACAACTTATATTGTCTTTGACTGTGAGAAGAGAAAATAGCCTAGCTCCTTTTTTTTTTTTTAATAGAAACAGTGTGTCATGATGTTTCCTAGGCTAGTCTTGAACTCCTAAACTCAAGCCATCCTCTTCCCTCAGCCTTCCAAAGTGCTGTGTAGCTCTGTGTCTTGGTCTATCCATAGCTCCTAGCATATTACCAGATCAAGCAATGTAAGAAGATAACTTGATAACTTAGGGTTTATAAATATGAATAAGTTTTGGCCCCCAAAGACCTATAAAAGAAAGTATTTGTGTAGGAAATCGGATACGAGCCATGATCTAGAAAAGTATGGTGATCAAATGCTTTGGTGACTGCTCTCTCTGGTTCTCTCTTGCTTGTATTAGAGTCAGTCTTAGGGTTCATTCTCAATCCTTAGACAACTTTCTTAACCTCTCTGAGTCTCTAGTTTCTTTTTTCTTTTCTTTTTTTTTTTTTTTTTTTCTGTTTTTTGAGACGGAGTCTTGCTTTTGTCGCCCAGCCTGGAGTGCAATTGCGTGATCTCGGCTTACTGCAGCCTCCACCTCCAGGGTTCAAGTGATTCTCCTGCCTCAGCCTCCTGAATAGCCAGGATTACAGGTGCCCGCCACCACACCTAGCTAATTTTTGTATTTTTAGTAGAGACGGGGTTTCACCATGTTGGCGAGGCTGGTCTTGAACTCCTGACCTAGGTGATCCACCTGCCTTGGCCCCCCAAAGTGCTAGGATTATAGTCATGAGCCACCGTGCCCAGCCTGAGCCTCCAGTTTCTTCATCTGTTCAAAATAGTAGGATTAATAATACCTCTCTGGCAGGGTTGCATGAGGCTCTCTGGCCGTGATGTCATGTTGAAGTGTGTCATCACCAATCTCACATATAGAATGCCCATAGGAAGTGTTGGTTGCCTCTTCTTCCCAAAGAGAAAAACCAGCTCATGACTTCCATTTTCCCAGAAAGTCTTCTGCTAACAGTGTGCTTATGAGGGAAGAGGCTGGTGTGCCTGCCATTCACAGCCTTCAGTTGTGTACGATGCTCTGTCAAAGGCAGACTCTTCTCCTCACTCATGAGTTGTGAAGCACGGGGGACCCCAAAATCCTGACTATGACTTCTCGTCTCCCCCAGACCCTTCCCTGTCTGTATTCCTCTGTTTCCATTTTGGGTCATTTTCCCTCCAATGCCTGAATCCAAATATTGGCATAATAGTGGCATTTAGAAAATGAAGATACTCAGCCCAGTCCCTCAAGGGTTCCATGTTGTCTCAGGCCAAGTAACGTGAAGACAACACCAGCAGAGAGAGGAAATTCTACAGATGAAAAAGCTTGCTTGAATATTAGTTTGGTACAACTGATTATTGAAACGATTGCTTTTCCCTTTTGGGTATTCCCTGCAGTACAATTTGTAATCATTTTAACATTCATCTCTGTCTGCCAAATTCAATCCATCAGCAAAAAAAGTTGTTCTGAATAAGTGCTGAGGCTGTTGGATGGTTCTCCCAAATAGTCTTTCCTTTCAAATGGAATGGCCCAGAAAATGGGCTCTCCATTTTTATAGTTTCTGGATTCTTTTATCAGCCCTCGATTAACGGGATTCAGTATCAAAAGCAGGTCAAGTTTTCTGCAACAGAGAAGAAGGTGGCCCTCAGGCCCATGGGTGGTGCCTGATAGTTTTGATCCTTGGCTCTATGTCATCCTGTTCTCCTTTCACATAAAGGGGCTAATCTCTGCATCTGGGGTCCAGGCAGAACAGTCCCTAGGACTTGTCCATCTTGGATGGGACTTGGACCCTGCCTTCTCTAAGGCTAGGGGCACAGCTCTCAGGTAAACATTCTTAAAGCTCTGAGGTCATCAGAAGAAAGAGAGAAGCTGTCCTATTGTGCCTTGGGTTCAACTAGGAAAGCTCTCCACCTTGAATTATTCTGTCAGCCTCCCAAAAGCTATTCCAATCTGCATCTAAGAGGTGTGAGGCCTCACGCCCCCTGGCAGACGCCACCAGTCACCACCCGTGGACCCAAGGGCCACCTTTTTTTTCTCTGTTGCAGAAAACTTTACCTGTTTTTAACACTGAATCCAGTTAATCAAGGAGTGATTGACAGTCATTTTTGTCAAATTGAAGTTTGGAGATCTCTTGATATAGGGCAAGGAACAAGGCCTTCAAGAGTGAAGAAGTGATTTGTGAGAATTCAGTTACACATTTATGAAGCCCCTGCTTTGTACAGTGTGTTACATGGGGGAGGCAAAGATACGTTAGACCCAGTGCATGCCCTCAGGGTTTGTATAAGTAGCAAAGCACACTCGAGCACCCTGTAGGGATGATGTGCACTTTGGCAGTGGTAGGAATCGAGTGCTGTGGCAACAACGATGAGGAAAGTGAATGCTTCTGACTTTCTAGTTACTGTATGGATGGTGGTGACCTTCACAGACAAGGAGCTTTGTCAGAAGGCTTCTTTCTCTCCATCCCCACTGCCACCCTCCTTCTCACTGCCAGGACTGTAGAGCTGCTTTGCAAGCTGTTCTTCCTGCTGTTAACTGGTCGGCCTCCGGGCTGTCCTCTCTGCAGCCTGAGTGAGTGTGCGTGTCTTTTCCTTCTGGTTGCTTTTTAGGCCTTATTTTTGTCTTTTTGTTCTGCAGTTTTACTACATTATGTCTGAGTGGATTCACTTTTATTTATATTGTTTAGGACTCAATATAGTTCTCATTTAGACATTTTTATCTATTATCTTTGATTCTCTCTAATCTCTCCTTCTGGAACTTGTTAGAAACCCACCATCTTATTTCATCTTTGCTCTCTTTTCTATTTCCGTATCTGTTAGTGCTGCATTTTAGGAAACTTCCGCAGAAGTGTCTGTCACTTTATTCTCCTTGTAGCAGTTTACTATCTGCTGTTTAATAACCCTTCCCAATATGAATGTTTTTATTTTATTTTATTTATTTTTTGAGATGAAGTCTCACTCTGTCACACAGGTCGGAGTGCAGTGTCGCAAACTCATCCCACTGCAACCTACACCTCCTGGGTTCAAGTGATTCTCCTGCCTCAGCCTCCTAAGTAGCTGGGATTACAGGCATGCGCCACCACGCGGGGCTAATTTTTTTGTATTTTTAGTAGAGACGGGATTTCGCCACATTGGCCAGGCTGGTCTCGAACTCCTGACCTCAGGTGATCTGCCCAACTCAGCCTCCCAAAGTGCTGGGGTTACAGGCGTGAGCTACCACACCTGGCCTAATGTTTGGTTTTTATATTTAATTTTCAGAAGTTCCATTTCGTGCTTTTGAAAATCAGCCTATTATTATTAATTAATTTTTTTGTGTCCTAGTCTTCTGTTATGATTTCTATTCTTTCT